GGGTGAGTACTATTTGTAATAACCTCTCCAGGTCGATGAGTATTCTTTATGCTCAGCCTTTCTAGGCTAGACAAGGATTAGCGATTCTTGATGATCAATAAAGTGAGTATTGTTTTCAAAAACCTCTCTAGGTTGACGAGTATTCTCTAAGCTCAGCCTCTCTAGGCTAGACAAGGATTAACGGTTCTTTCCGACCGTTGAAGTGAGTACTGTTTGCAATAACCTCTCCAGGTCAATGAGTATTCTTTGATCTCAACCTCTTTAGGCTGGACAAAGATTAGTGGTTCTTAATGACTAATAGGGTGAGTATTATTTGTGATAACCTCTCCAGGTTGATGAGTATTCTCTAAGCTCAGCCTATCCAGTCTAGACAAGGATTAGCGATACTTGTCGACCGATAAAGTGAGTACTATTTGCAATAACCTTTATAGGTAGATGAATATTCTATGGGCTTAGCCTCTCTAGGATGGATAAGGATTAACGGTTCTTGCTTACTGATAAAATGTGTACTGTTTGCAATAACCTCTCTAGATCAATGAGTATCCTCTAAGCTTAGCCTCTTCAAGCTGGACAAGGATTAGTGGTTCTTGCTTACTGGTAAAATGAGTATTGTTTGCAATAACCTCTCCATGTCAATGAGTATTCTCTAAGCTCAGCCTCTCTAGATCGGATAAGGATTAACGATTCTTGATGACCGTTAAGTATTTTTGTGTGGCCTCTCCAAGCCTACAGATGGTTATGCTTAACCAAATGCCACTTGTGCTAGGTGAATGAGTCCAACAAGGATAATGATATAAGAATTGCCTCTTCGTTAGGCAAGATCATAGTTGATCCATTGGGGAAGGAGTGCTTTCTGTAAGTTTTACTGAGCTGAGCAATCAATGTTGAGGATGTCTTTTGACCTTAGGCAGATGAGTCCAACAAGGATGATGTTCTGTAAATTGCCCCTTGGTTGGGCAAAATTCTTGTTGTTCCACTAGGGAACTATTTTTAGAAACTCTAATAAGTTGAGCAATCGATGTTGAAGGTGCTTCTTGATTTTAGGCGATTATCCACTAGGGATTGTACAGTTCTGAGTTTAATTATTCTTTTGCTAAAGCCTTTCCAGGCTTGGTCCCTTCTGCTGGGGGTATTTTTAGCTAAAATATTGCTTAACTAAAGCCTCTTTAGGCTTGGGATGCGTAGATTGGGAAGAGGCTACTCTTTAGTTGAATTTTGCTTATGTGAATCTTGGTTACCCAATTGTCATTCTGATTTGACTAGGTATCTTTGCTTGTGGCAAGTTACCCAGTTATCAATCTAACTTGACTAGATACCTCTACTCGTGGCAACCCTTGCCCCTAATTCAGATCTTAGATATCTGATAGCCTATATGGTTGTTAATCTTTTCATAGCTTTGTTCATTAAGTATTATTGACAAAGCCTCTTCAGGCTTGATTCTCACTGGGGATGCTTTCGACATTTGAGTATTATTTTCCTAAAGCCTCTTCAAGCTTGGTATAAATCTCTAAGAAGATGATAATCCCTTTTGGATTTTTGAAAAACAATGTCATTAGGGAATTGAACCCATATTGTCGGGGATGATGACAATCAATGTCAAACACTTGACGAACAACATCATCGGGGAGATCTGTATGCCCCAAGTGCTTGCTATATTGGCCTCTTGCTATGGGATTACCCATCTAGGGATTATCGTGCTTTGAGCTTCCTTAGTCCTCTAGAGAGATTTTTCTAGTGTTATGCCACTAAGAAGGCTATGCTTTAGCTACTCTTGCTGGGGAGTGGACCTGACTATCTAGTAGCCTTATTGGATGATATGACCTTGCTTTCTTGTGGAAATGAGGGCCATATGTGCCCCTGGTCTTGGATCTTTGTTATCCAGTAGCTTGGTCGGCTGTTCAATCTTATAAGACTTTAGAGTTTGCTTATTGAATGTTGTTTTCGATTGCCTCTTTTCTTATGTGGAGACGTCTAATGATGTCATGGATGGTTTGCAAGTAATGCCCTTGTGCTGATGGGTGGAAAATCATCCTCTCAGTAGGGTGATCGTAGTTGTGTTGTCCTATTTCTTTGCTAGAGAATCGGGAGGAGATGTTGATGATGCCCAAGCAAGCCCTACTATTTTCTTGTTTTTAGGTAAGAGTGTTAGTGAGCAAAAGGCAGATGATGCCTACTAATGTGATGAGGGGATACTTCTGATGCCCCTAGTTTTTGTTGTTTTTCATATTGTCTAGGCAGTTATCCATTGGGGATCGTGTTGTTCTGCCGTGTGAGTATTCTTTCACTAAAGCCTCTCCATACTTGGGTTCTGCTATTGGGATTTTTAGAGCTTAAGTATTGATTGAGTTGAAGCCTCTCTAGGCTTGGTGTGTGCTTGTCAAGAATGTTAGGGAACAAGCTACTCTTTGAACCAGATTTGCTTGTGTGGGTCTTGGCTACCAGGTGATCAATTTGGCTTGACTAGGAATGAGCAATTTTTCCCCTTGTTTGTGTTTTGGAATGGCCATACTATTCATAAGAACAATCGTTCTCAGAAACCATGAGTATGCTCGTTCTCATGGGTCCTAGGCTTGATTCCTTGGTTGTTTAGCTCCGTAGGATGCCTTATACAGATCCCTTCCTTCCATTTAAAGTATCCTAGACTCTTCAGGTTCCTTTGAGAGTCACTTCTCTTGTCTTTAGAAGCTTCGCGACTTTGGATTCTCAACCCAAACAAAAACTGGTGTCTACAGCTGAAATAGTCGAAACTAAGAAAATGAAAATTTAGAAGCCTACCAACAAAAAAACCCAACCAAGTCATCCAAGACTTATAGCCGATCAGGCTACTAGATTTCAGAGATCCAAAGAAAGGGCAAAGTTGCCATACCTCCCTTATCTAAAAAAGGGCCACCACTTTCTTCCCGAGAGGAGCCAGTTGAGAGCCAAGCAAGGACTAGTAGCCATGTGGGATACCGGATATCCGAGATTCGAACAAGGGGCAAAGAGGCCCATATCAAAAATCCCCAGTCAAGATAAAACCACTACCCGGGTAACCAAAGACCCACAGAAGCATAAGAATTCGGCTCAAAGAGTAGCCCACTCACCAAACATTCCAAGCAAGCCCAGATTAAGCCTGAAGAGGCTTTGGCAAGTAATACTCAGTTAAAATCCTATTATACAAATCAAGCCTAGAGAGGCTTCAGCTTAAAAAAATACTCAAGCTCTAAAAATCCCCAACAAAAGAAATCAAGCCTAGAAAGGCTATAGTGAATGAATACTCACACAGTAGAATCGCACAATCCTCAGCCTATAACCTTTTAGATAGTGGTAAATACAGTCAAAGTCAAGGGCATCAAGACTATCCCCACATATCACCAGCAAACACCATTTGTTATTTCCTCCCCAATGGACAACAACCTACATAGAGGTAGAATAATCAAAGACGAAAGGCACCATCTCCTACTAATTCCCCGACAAAGATACAAGACCACACAGTGGTGATCACCCTATAATGAGGATGATCTTCCTCCCCTTAACATAAGGGCACTTTCAACAATACATCCACAAGAAATCCAAAAAAATCATCGACCTGGAGAGGATGCAAGTAGTACACAAATCCACAACTTAGGCTGACTGTAAGCCTTAATACCAATCCAACTTGGAGAGGTTGAGCTCTGAACATACTCAAATCATCAACCTAGAGAGGTCGCAAGCAGTACTCGAATCCATGACTTAGGTCGACTAGAAGCCTTAATACTAGTCCAGCCTGGAGAGGTTAAGCTTAGAACATACTCGAATCGTTGACCATGAAATGTTGAAAGTAGTACTTAAATCCATGACTTAGGCCGAGTGAAAGCCTTAATACTAGTCCAGCCTAGAGAGGTTGAGCTCAAAACATACTCAAATTATTGACCTAGAGAGGTTGCAAACCGTACTCAAATCCATGACTTAGGCCGACTGGAAGCCTTAATATCAGTGCAGCTTGGAGAGGATGAGCTCAGAACATACTCAAATCATCAACTTAGAGAGGTTGCAAGCAATACTCAAATCCACGACTTAGGCCGACTAAAAGCCTTAATACCAGTCTAGCTTGGAGAGGTTGAGGTCAGAAGATACTCGCTCCTCAGCAAACCTGAACAATCCCTACAAAGACGAACCCACAAGAAAAACTCATCATCAAACCTTATAGAGAGACAATATGGGATACTCACACCTCGCTCATCCCCACAGAGACAAGAAGCCGAAGACCTGGACAAAATATCTACGTCTTTGCTTACCTTTGGAAAGTGCAATTTTAGCATCCTACTATCCAAAGGACAAGTAAAGAGGGGCAGTTATAGACACCATATTTTGTTTGGACTACTCCCATAAGAATGGGAGACCTCTGGAACGAGAAGGACAGCCCTTGAGGGCCCAAAAAGGCACGAAAGTGGACCGAGGTTCAAAAGAATGTGACACCAAATAAGAGTATCTGCTGATTAATGTTAAAGATACAAATGTAGTAAAATTCAACTTCTATTTCATTTCACGGTATATTTAGAAAAAATAAAATGATTTTTTTATAATTTAATAATTTATGCATAATTTAATTTGCAAAATATTTTTTTATTAATATTTTCAAAATTTTATTTTTAATTCATACATAATCCTAATTCATGAAGTTTTTGTAAAATTTGTTTTCTTTTTTTTTATTTTTTCTTAAAAATATTTTTGAAGAAGCTTATTCAAAATATCTTATTTTTAGTAGAAATAGACGTCACGCAAGCAAATTAGTTCAGTGGACAACAAAGCAATGTTATCATCTAGCACTTAAGTATTAGTAGTAGCTAGTTACTTTAAAATTGATATCTGAAGATAATCTCAAACAAAGAAATTATGAATTATGTATGGACTTTGGCGAGTAATACGAAGTCACGCTTGTCTTAAAATAGCCAACAGATGATGTCAGCTAAGAGCATAACAGCTAGTGCAGCTTATAGTCGCGCATTTTATGCTTTTTGGTGAGTGAACACGTAAGTTATCCAATGTCGTGTTGTGGGAAAGCTGTGACAATGTCTCAAATGCTGCTTTGTTTACCATATATTTCCAATCCTAAACCAGTCATGCACACACTCTTTTAAGAAGCATATCAACGCTGTGACTGTTGACCCCTCACTTCACTATTCTTGGACCCTTCTGAGCAATAATAGAGAAATAAGTCTCTGCTATCTGGTGGGTTTATAACCTCACCTGGAAGTGGTTTATGTTTCATCGTGCATCTGTGGAAGGAGAAGAGATTAAGTAAGTAACTCAAGTTATGGGATTTTGGGTTTATAATCGAGGGACATGCTATGTCATGTCTTGGAAAGTTGTTTGTGTGTATGACTCTTTTGCTAGATGCTGTTATGCTTGTGTTCTTTGATTCAAATGATAAATTGTCTCCTCGTTGTCATCATGACCTGTTAAAACAGGCTCTGTTCGGTTGGAGTTCTTGTGAACAGAAAATTGTTCTTCAACTACTCTGCTTAGTATCTGCATAAAGTTCCTTTTATCCATTTTATCTTTGTAATTTCTATCATAGCATTAACTGTTTATCCATTTAATTTCAAGTGTTTGGTTGTGTGTGAAGGGTCTATGCTTTTCAACATGATGAGATTACTGAGATTACTGGACAGTATATGTATAATGTAAGTGTTGCTTAGCTGAATTCTAATTTATCATGATTTTCAAATATCACTTTTGTAGAGACTGAGAGTGAAATTTGATGGGTTATTTTATATTTATATTTTATAAATATATATTTTTATTAGAAAATATAGACTAATTTTATTCATGAGTATATATAAAAAAATTAATACCAAAATCAAATAATAATATTATTTTATCCTAAAAATAATGAAACAATCTTAAAATAATTAAAACAAATTAAATCTAAATATTTATAACATAAATAAAAAGATTTTTATTAAAATTAAATTATTTTCTTAAAGATATTTCGATATATTCCTATCAAAACTTTTAAGTGATTGTTTGCTCGATTCTAATTTATTTTGATTTCCTAGTATCACTGTTGTAGAGAATTGGAGTCAAATTTTCCCAATAATCCAGCAAGTGATGGTTTTCTGGATTCTAATTTATTTTGATTTCCTAGAATCACTGTTGTAGAGACTTGGAGTTAAATTTTCCCAATAATCTTGCAAATGGTGGAACTTCAATTTTCATTTCAGCAGTGTGACCATAGTTTCTGGTCTATTTCTTAGGTCTCTGAGTATATATACTCGCGTGAACCCGTGAAGCTTTCATCTTTGGTCTAAAGCTAAAACATAGTACACCAGCCTTAAACTCTTGCTCGTGATATCTCTCTCTCTCTCTGTCCATGGAGGCCAAAAACTTGTGGCGGTTCCTCGTTCTTCCAATCGGTGTGCTGCTATTTCTTCTTCTCACCTGGTTTCACCTTCCCAACAAGGGGGCTCTAGACTGCAACCTTTACTCTGGATGGTGCACCTCAAAGAACCGTTTCTACTCTTCATCACAGGCTAATCAGATTAAGAAACCATCTTTTTCCAGTTATAACAACCAACACCATGAATCTGAGATTCCTCAGCACCCTCTTGACCCTCTAACCATCCAAGAGTTCAACAGGGTCCGCACCATCCTCTCCACCCACCCTCTCTTCAAGTCCTCATCGAAATACACTCTCAACTCCATCGTGCTTGAAGAACCGGACAAAAAACTAGTCCTGAAATGGAAAAAGGGTGATGCACCCTTGCCTAGGAAGGCTTCTGTGGTTGCTGTTGTGAAGGGTGTATCTCATGTGCTCACTGTGGACCTTGAAACTGGCTTGGTAACCGATTATGAATATTCGGTTTCAGGGTACCCCACCATGACCGTGGAAGACATGGTGGGTGTACTAGAGGTTCCCCTTAAGAGCATTGAGTTCAACCGCTCAATCACTAAACGTGGTGTCAAGTTAGCAGACCTGGAATGTTTGCCAATCTCTTCAGGGTGGTATGGGACACAAGTGGAGGAGAATAGAAGGTTGATTAAGGTGCAGTGCTATTCCAAAGAAGGGACAGTTAACTTCTACATGAGACCAATTGAGGGTGTCACTGCCTTGGTTGACATGGATAGAAAAGAGGTGGTGACTATTTCAGACAATGGTGAGAACATCCCTGTGGCGAATGGGATCAACACTGACTACCGTTACTCCATTCAGAAGCTGAATGGAGAGTTGAGGCTTCTGAATCCAATATCATTGGAGCAACCAAAAGGTCCAAGCTTCACAGTTGAAGGGCACTTGGTGAAATGGGCAAATTGGGAGTTCCATGTGAGGCCTGATCCAAGAGCTGGAACCATCATTTCAGAAGTGAAGGTGAGGGACCCTGATACATCAGAGCTTAGGAATGTGATGTACAAAGGGTTCACATCAGAGCTATTTGTGCCATACATGGATCCCACAGAAGGATGGTACTTTAAGACATACATGGATGCAGGTGAGTATGGATTTGGGTTGCAGGCAATGCCACTAGACCCTTTGAATGATTGTCCTAGGAATGCTTACTACATGGATGCTGTATTTGCCTCTTCTGATGGAACACCATATCTCCAACCCAACATGATTTGCATCTTTGAGAGATATGCTGGTGACATTGCGTGGAGACATGCTGAGTGCCCCATCACTGACCTCAAGGTAAGCATTTCACTCATGGCAACAAGACATACCTAAAGTAGTGTGTTTGGTTTGACATTATGGAATATTGGATCCAATCCAAAAGCTACTACATGCAACTTTTGCGGTTTATTTTTTTTAGTTTGGCGTGATAATTAGAGAATATGTGCAATAAAGACGTCAATTTAAACACAAAGCCCCACATACTGCTAGTTTCTAATTATGGACATTCATAAAGTTATGAGATTTGGCTATTTTCTTGTTGCCATTTCACTAGTCATGAATCATGATGCCTTGCTCTTATATGTATAGTTCAGTGGATTTTATCTCTTAACTTTGTTCTGAGTTTGTGCCGTTGTGGTGGCAGGTAACAGAAGTGAGGCCAAAGGTAACACTAGTGGTTAGGATGGCAGCAGCGGTGGCAAACTATGACTATATCGTGGATTGGGAATTTCAAACTGATGGGTTAATCAGATCAAAGGTTAGTGATGGAAATTCAATTTAGTTTCTATGTATTCTTGTTTAGGAAATAGGATTGAAGGTCCCAATAACCTTTGCAAGCATGTGTATAGTAATTTAGCAACTTGTGATGTGATACATTAGCATATAAATATAAACTATGGCTGCTTTCCGAAATTCCAGAAAAAATTTAATATTAATTAGTCAAGTGACCGACCACGACTTTATGCAACTTTTTCGATAATGGCTACCTTGCACAGTGTGTTGAGTTATAAATGACATGTTCACGTGATTGAAAAATCGGCAACTCGTACTATATATATATTGATGGTTTAGGGTAAAATGGATGAACCTTTCTAGAATATTGATGGTCATGTTTTTGTCTTATTGCACTTGTAATAAAAAGTTATTTTGTGTGAAATGTCTTGATGTATTTGTATTCAATAGTTTACGTTAATATCAAGGCAATTGTTTGATGCAGGTTGGACTAAGTGGTATCTTGATGGTGAAAGGCACTACCTATGAGAATATGGACCAAGTCCCAAACCAAGAATATCTCTATGGAACCCTTTTGAGTGAAAACATTATTGGTGTAATCCATGATCATTTTATCACATATTACCTAGATATGGACGTTGATGGCTCTGACAATTCATTTGTCAAGGTAAAGTTAAAGAAGCAAGAGACTTCTCCAGGAGAATCACCCAGAAAGAGTTACCTAAAAGCTGTGAGAAAAGTGGCAAAAACAGAGAAAGATGCTCAAATAAAACTTAAACTATATGACCCATCTGAATTTCATGTGGTAAATCCATTGAAGAAGACAAGGGTGGGGAATCCTGTTGGGTACAAATTGGTTCCAGGTGCCACAGCAGCTACCTTGCTTGATCCAGAAGATCCACCACAAAAAAGAGCAGCTTTTACCAAAAATCAAATATGGGTCACACCTTACAACAAAAGTGAGCAATGGGCTGGAGGCTTGTTTGTTTACCAAAGCCAAGGCGATGATACTCTTCAAGTGTGGTCCAACAGGTCAGAGATTCTTTTCATGCTTCTATAACCACGAATGTCACATTTACTAAAAGAAAATTTACTAACATAATAGCTATGAATTAGGAACGTTAAGTTAGGTGAGGAGTGCTATAACAAGTAATAAGTGATACATTTTTCCCTCCACATTCCCTATTATTAATTGAATTTCATGTAGTCACTAAATAAGAAAGTAGAACAACTGAAAAGAAAATGAGACCCGTGTATTTAGTTGAACCTACAAAAATTTTAACACGTACTTATCTCGGTTTTTCTTTATAACAAATAAATTATAGTTTATTTTATTATATATATATATATATAACTGTTTTTCTTATAAAAATGATCAAAAGGAGTATTTAGTATAATATTGAAAAGAATATATATATCACAATTATAGATATCAAAAACATTTGTACTTGCAAATATATGAAGATAAAATTTGTTACGAATAAAAAATAAATATTGTAAATAAGTTTTCACAGATAATAAGTATGGATATTTTCTATACCAGTGTGTTAATGGGACGGGTACGAGTATCATATATTCATACTCGCAAGTACCTATTAATATTTAATAACATAATTAAATATTAAATTATTTAAATTTATGAGAATGAAGTACTTTAATAATTAAATTTAAGTTTTAAATTGAAGAATCTTGATTAATAAAATTGTGTATAATGTTTAAATAATTTAAGTTTTAAGTTTTAAACTATTATTTTTAAAGAAATCATTAGAATAAATAAAAATTATTATTAAAATATTTTTTAAAATTATTTATCTTTTTAAAACAAATATTCACAAATATCCATAGATATCGAAAAAAAATACGCAAGTACCCACTTTATAAATATTAATTTGCATGAATATGGAGACGAATACAAAGAGGATATTTATCAGGCAAGGTAGGGAGAACTTTGTTGACATCCTTAATCATAATATGACCAATTTAGATAAATTTCTCCAAAAACACTTTAACGAGAGAAAAATAAGAAGAAAAAATAAAATAATTTTTTTTATAAGTTAAAACTAACTTATCCACAAGTTAAAAATAAAATTTAGAGGAATTAATAAAAAAGATATTATACAAATTAAGTTATACTTAAATTAATTTTAATTTATAAAAAAATTTCTTACTTTTTTTTCTCATCTGTACTTATGAATAAGTTTACTCGAACAAATTATATGTTATTCTCGCACTTCTTGTTATTATATAGGCAGATGACAATAATTAAACACAAATGAAGATCATTATTAGTGAGAGAGAAGTAGGGACTATTAAGAACATTGTGGTTTACTATTTCTATCTCCTCTTTGTGTCCGTTTAAAGAAAATAAAAATAAATTTATTTTACCGTGTACTCAATAAACGAAGGTTGGACAAAGTGGTCACTCAACTCAACTAATGCTTACTTAATTTTATTTTTTTAAAAGTTTATCTACCACAAAATGTTCTTATTTAATGATAAAGAAGCTCTCACATACGTTTCTAATTTATCTTCAACCATGCTCATAATATAACTTTGAATTTGGTGATTAATTTGACTGATGGAGATATCAAATATATTATAAAATTTCTAATAGTGGTTGATATTTTAATATACAGGGATCGTTCTATTGAGAATAAGGACATTGTCTTGTGGTATACAGTGGGGTTCCATCACATACCATGTCAAGAGGACTACCCTATCATGCCCACTGTATCATCAAGTTTTGATCTGAAGCCTGTTAATTTCTTCGAGAGAAATCCAATCCTTAGAGTACCTCCTAATTTCCAAGATGATTTACCTGTTTGCAAGGCTCATGATTCAGCTTGAGATTCCAACCCTTGGTTTTAGTTTAACTACATGCGTGCTTTTGTTTATACATGTAGCAAATGATGCCAAAACTTAGCTTCAAATAATTAGTAAGGTCAGGGTCAAACTTTGACTATTATGTTAAAATTGTGGAATGTGACTCGAATCATTAAAAATAAAAATTAAAAATTGTCCAATATATGTATCCTGCTATTGTTGTTAACTTTGAACAAGGCTTCTTTTTTATCATCTAAAATTTAGCAATGGAAAATATTCAGGGAGGAATGTTAAGTCTTCTTAGTGATTAAGATTTCAAACGATAATTAAAATATATATATATATATATATATATATATATATATATATGAAAATATATGAAAATATAAGTAATTTAAGCTTCATACCTTGACAAATTCCAATGCGAAAGTAAATTCAAAAGGTTTTTATTAGATTATAAAGGTTTATAAAAAAGTATTCAAAGAACTAAAGTGAAATCTTCTTTTAATCATCAATTCATAGCAATAAAACCTTTCTTTTATTATATTTAAGTATATCAAGATCATCTTAAAGATGTTTGGAAGGTTCTTTTAGAATTTGAGCTTAAGTCTAATTTAACTCTAAATATTAGTTTTTGAAGTCAAAATTGTCTCTCACTTGTACCTATTTTAACTATATTATTAATCAATATGAAATTTTTGACACACACCTCCTCAAACCTAGGATTACATCTTGAGTATCAAGTTTATTATGAAGTTTATTATATTGGACATTTGAAAATACTCTAATAACAGATAATTTCATATTGTTCAGAGTTTCAAAATGTGGGATTATACTGCACATTTCAAATGGAGGATTAAACACATTGAATACAAAGCTTGCATGAATAGACATCTATAAATAGTTCAATAATAAGTAACTTGACAGTGTTAGAGGTTTCTTGTAATGCCATGTTATATTAGACAAATCTTACTGATTGTTTACTTATTTGTTTTTATGAAAATGATAGTAAATTTTTTTTTGCGTTTATTTCTTAAAATTATAAAGAAAAGAAAGAAAAATTATTATTGTTAACATTGTCAAGAAAAAGGTAAGTAGTTCATGTACCAATTTAATTCGGATTCGAGATAAATTAAAGTTTAAACCAATTCAAACCAAACCAATCAACAATGGGTAGGTTTGATTTGGAATAATCAATTTTCTTTAAAAAAAAATGGTAGATATTTATTCTTTTTAAAATATAAAATGCATTATTTTTTCCTACAATTTAAATAAAAATCTATTATTAAAATAGTGTAAAAAAATTCAATTGTAAGTAAAAAAGTAATATAAGAAATATGAAATTAAAGTAGTCAAACATAGTCTAATATTTGAAATTAAAAGTATTTCAACATTTTAAAACTAAGATAGTTCTTAAAATATAATTAAATATTCTGTTACAATCATTATCTAGTAGTTTTCATACATTCTAATAAAATCATTATGTGTTACAAATAAAATCACAATATTATAAAATAATATTAAGATAAAAATTATAATAATAAAATAATGATAATCGTAGTAATAATTTTAATTTTAATTGGTTTGGTTCTCAAAATTATCAAATTTGTAAAATGCAAATCTATGATTTAAATCAATTAAGGCCGTATTTAATTGATTTAGACCATATTTTATCTGATTAAAAAAAAACGAACCAACTTAACTAGTTTAGTTTGGATCATTGATTTTATTGATTTGTTCAAACCGATGAATACCCAATATTGTAAATGGTTATATAAGGAACCATTGTCTTCTTAAACAAATTAAACTAAATATTAACTCACAAGTTGTGTGGATTTATAAATAAATGTATATAATTATTATAATATAATTTAAAAATATTAGAAACATTGCATGAAATTAAAAAAATATATAGTTGTAAAATATTGAGATAGAAAGAGTATAAGGTTTGTATGTAAAACAAAAAAAAACAAAAAAAAAACACACACATATAGATGTACTGAGATACCTCTTTCTCATTTTTACTGATGCCTTACTTATTTTTATTCTCAAGTTTGGTTGCCTATCCACATTGAAGGGGGTGCACCTACATAAAGCACTCAGACGCTCAAGTAAGTTACTCTCTCAATATATTAAATACGAATAATGAACAGTGTATTTACCTCGAGATGAGATACTATTTATATTGATCGTGATGGGCTCAAATTCTTTTAGGCCACACCCTAGGGTTACCAATTAGGTAATATATAGATAATTGATTTTGTACTAGTGATTAAATCCTATTTACCTTTATCATCATAATTTAAGTCATCGGGCTCCATATCCCTTTCGACACTATCAACTATCGAAGGGGATAAAAATGGTCATTTGGTTATAATGGTCGAATGAAGTGTTGTAATTTGAAAGGCCTATTAGCTGATTTTGGGTTCATGTAACATCGTACTTGCTCGAGTCCTTTGCTTACCGAGGTGTTGAAAGGGGTCAAGAGTTTGTTCATGTGAGACCTTCGGTTACCGAGAGCATCGAAGGGATCAAGGATTTGCTCATGTGAGCCCTTCGATTATTGAAAGTGTCATAAAGATTAAAGGTGTGTTCACATGAGCCCTTCGATCATCAAAAGTGTTGAGGGGGTCCCTCACTTGCCAATTTTCGATGGACGAATGATATATTCGGTATACATGCCTCCCAACCTTGGAGAAATGAAATTCAAACAAAGGTAGAAATAGGATTAGCAAAATTAGCAAGGGACATATCATTAGTAATTGTCCCGTGGTTATATTTCTCAAGACGATTGAAATGAAGAGTCGTATGTCATGTTTTGTTGGATCATTTAGACCTAATGGTTATGTCGAGCGGTGTTGTTTTAGCTTCCTATTAGGAGGTATTATAATTATATGTGTAGTGGAGTCCATCTTTATCATTACTACTATGTCTAAGCCCAAGTGATCTTTTTACGAATTTGTTGAGTCGAGTGCACTAATGCTTGAACTAGTATGTATAGAATTTCTTTTATAATGGTGGAAGAGTCTGATTGTCCTTTAGTTAAAGAGTTTATATGTGTTTACAAAAGGCTTCCTTTTTGGAGGAGTTTAGTTGACGAAAGGGATAACTCTGATACTTGTGACATCAGGGATCTTGGAATATGTTTTTATGTTTTGGGAATTATAACTTATTTTCTTTAAACATATTTCATTAGTTTTGTAATAGCTAGGGATTTCATTTAAAATTTGAACTTCGAATGTGTTACTCTTTACCTTTGTTTGAATTTATTCAAGTACGATATTTCTTTTTTGATAAATATTATGTTCATTTAATTAGGCATGCGAGATAGAGGATTATACATTTTCCTTCAAGCTCATATAGTTAAGATTTCTAAGTGTTCAAAATCTTGGCACTGTATAGTTGTGTCTGCGAATTTGCATAGACATCTTCGGCTAGACTTGTGGGAGTATTTGACCTCCATCCAATCTTCTATCTGTCTCTCATAGGTACTAATTGGTGACTTTAATGAAGTATGCAAATCTTCAAAAGTTTGAGTGACAATTCTCTCTAGCGAGAGCATCCCCTACTGCAATATGATTGATTATTGTCACCTTATAGATTCGGGTGCAATTGGAAATAAAATTATATGGACCCATAGAAAAATCAGAACCTTCATTGGTAAAAAAGATTGGATAAAGCTTCATCAATCATGCATGAAGAATGGTTTTTCTAGAAGCCTTTGTTGAAGTGCTTTGTTAGGGTTTACTCTTATCATTGTCCTATTTAATCAAGTTAGGGGGTGTTCCAAAATCCTTTAAAAATCGTCCATTTTTCTTATAGGAGGTTTGGGCTATGCATGGTGGTTTTGAAAGGCTTATTCACGATGCTCGGTCAAAGGGACCCCCAAATGTTAGTCAGTGTTTGAAAAAAAGTTCAGAAAAATGCAGTCCAATTTAATGAAGAAATGTTTGGGAGTATCTTTTAAAGAGAAAAAAAAACATGTTGAAGCAAGACTCAAAGGGGTCCAAAATACTCTTGAAATAAAAAAAAGGAGATAGAGTGCCTTATTTTATTGCAAAAGTATCTTCACAAGGAATATAAGGCATCTTATCACATGAGGAGTTTCTTTGGTATTAGAAGTCTAAAGAGTAATGGGTCAAGTTTGGGGATAGAAATATAAAATTCTTTCATGCTCAAACCTTCATACAAAGAAAGATAAACAAAATTCATAAACTTTTTTTAGGCAAAAATACATTTTTCGTCCTTTATATTATTTATTAGTATCAATTTAGTCTCATTTTAATTAAATAAATCAATTTAGTCCCATATCTTTAAAATGTATCTCAATGTTTAACCTTTCGTTTCTTCCGTTTAAATACTTAATAGATTTGACACGTGGCATGATAACATGACACATGTCATGCTACCATGCCACGTGTCATGTCATCATGCCACGTGGCATGATAGCATGCCACGTGGCATGACACGTGTCACATTCGTTAAGTATTTAACCGGAGAAAACGGAAGGTCAAACATTGAGATACATTTTAAACATGTGGGACTAAATTGACACTAATAAATAATATAAGGGACAAAAAGTATATTTTTACCTTTTTTTATGATGGAACTTGTGATGGAATCATGCTAAGGAAAGCAAGAGGTGACAACTTAAAAGATCCAAGAGGAGTGGGTTAGACATGGAGGTTTGGGTCAGTCAAAGCCCAATGGGCCCGATGGGCCTGGGAAGGCCCAAGTTGAACTTTTCATGGGCCATATTTTGTTATAGCTATTTTCATATGTTTTGTATACATCATGTTAGTATAGGTATCATATATTTTGGTCTTGTATTTTGGACCACATAGAGTAGCATTTTAGGTTTTAGGCTTGTTGGGCCTAGTTTTGGGCTTCATGGGCCTTTGGGCTTTTGGTACCCAATATTGGGCTCATTTTCATTCTTGTAATTTTTCCTTTCCATTGTAATTGTTGGACCAATGTATTTAGGTCATTAGAATAGGAAAATACAAGGAATACTAAAGTAGGCTAATTAGGTTAAACTAGGTTTAATTTGGAAGCCATTTAAGTTACATTTGAGTCACATGTTTAGCACCATGGGTGGCTGAACATGTGCCACTCAAATTAACCCTAAATAACTCTCAAATCAAACCTAAATGCATCTAGGCACCTAAATTTTCGGACTAGCACATGGGAGCCAAAATTTGAATTCAAATTTCAAGTTTGAATTCA